GACTTTTCACACTTATGGCTGGCTATGGTGGTGAAGTTTTCAGGTTGGTTTTGTTGAGTAGTCAGTGGAGTAGTTGGAAGACAATTTGAACAAACCTCTTAAATTTTCAATATTTCTCCTATTTTTGTAGTTTTTCACTTCAAAATTTCATGTGTAACATATCATATAGGCGCGCGACAAATTTGAATTTATGCTTCTAAATTTTCAGTTGATCATTGTGCACAACAGTGAAAATTTCTGCTTTCTAGCTTGTCTGGTTGTTGAAATTTGGCATTGTTTCTCCAGACTGGAATAAGCAGCTAATCTTCTCTGCTCGGAGAAGCATATTTTGCATTACTGGATTCATTCTCTAACTAAAACTCAAGCCGAGCTCGTCATAAAATTGCTGTAAAAAAAAACAATACTGATAGCAGCTGAATGATACTGTTCTGAAAAAAAAGCCTGAATTTATAAAAATTCAAAGCTGAATTTTGAAGCGTAGCATTGCTCTTCCTACTTGTTAGTACAGAGAGTGCTGTAAGCATAAAGAATTTTCAGCTATCGAAGTTTTAATTGGTTTTGGGTACCAGTGCTTGGACCGTTTATTGGAGCCGCCTTTGGCGGCCTACTTTATCAGCTGACCATCGGCTTCCATAATCCTTCTGACACTGACGATATACACATTCGAAAATACGAAATTGTTGCTACCGAAGAAAGGAAACCACTAACTACAGGGTACCGGATTTTTCGATTGCACTGCTTTGTTTTTCAGAAATATGCAGCTTTCCAACTGTTGCAGTCTCAGCTAACAATCTATGCTTTTGAAACAAAGTTGGCCAGTTCTTGCGAAACTCAAATGCTTGATGTTGCGACGCAGAAGAAATAGTTCTAAATCTTGTCTCGCTGAATTAGGCCCGGAGAACGTGGAGTTAAGGATCTTTTCTAGCTTTTAGGGATTGCCACGGGGATAATCCTCTGTATGGCTTACGTGCGAAGGCTGGCCTATTCGAGTATTTCATGTTTTCTTAGATATCTGCTTGTGCTTTGTTAGGCATGATCAAATTTGTAGTTCATTAGTGCAAGCGTAGCTGAATTCGACTGAAATTTAAAACTAATTTTCACTGCAGAGGAGTTTGTTACTCTTTTTCACTTCTTTGCAGTCGTAAACGAGTTGCAGAAGATCAATTGATAGCCTTAAATAACAAGAATTTTACAATGTCACAGAAAAAATCTTTAGTCAAATATGCGCCTTACAATATCTCATGTCTTCCAGATTCTATTCTAATTTGGACTTTTTGAGGAAAAGTAAGATTTTTTTCGCTCTTAACTTTTACGCTTTCGTCGATTTCAGGGAGAAATTGGCAGCAGTTGTTGCTGTGGAGCAGGAGGGCTAAGCGCTCACAATTGCAAGTCGCTGAATGAAGAAAAATTACAAAAAACTGGTTGTGATGGTCAGCACACAAGCGCTACACGAAGAGATCTCTCTATTTATTTTATAATAAGTGTTGAGATACTAATTAGGTTCTAAGCGAAATTATAACATTGTCCTATGAGTAGATATCAACTAAGAGTAAAGTATGTTGAAAGTGTTAAAGTTTGAAACCTGCAATAGTTTGGTTAAGATTAAGA